TGCGTATAGTTTACAATATTTTATAATGATATGTTTTGCCTACACATATAAAGATTATGGAGGAAACTGATTACAAATAAGTGCGGATAATGTTACTACAAAAATAAACCAGTTCGTGACTTACGTACAATTCTGTAGTTTCGCGTACATTTTATGATGTTTTATAATGACTTGCTTTGCCTACATACACTTATTAACAAAAGTTAAGAAACAACGTAATCGTTTGATACATTTGATACAGTGATTTCTTACATGCTTTGCGTGAAAAAAGATTATTTTCACCTAAACGACAGTTAATTGTCCTGTTACTAATGTTTTCCAGGCGCAGTTGTTTTTTAATTTCAGAAGCAGTGACTTAGAAAGTCTTGCAATTCGACGATCTAGTTTTTCATGTTTTTCACGGTCTGCCAGTTCGTGGTGCCGTTTTAACAGTTCCATATTCATCGAATCGTTTTATAATTTTGGTGATAAGTCACTCTTTTAACAATAAAGCAGAATTAATGGAAACAATCACGAAAATATGGTCAGAAATACCGACTGAGTTTTGTGTTCGATTAATTGAATCTATACCACGCAGATGCAACGCAGTCCTCAAATCCAAGGGTCATCCAACATCTTATTAGACTGTTATGAAAACTACAGACATTGAAACATCGCTGTTTTTCATTAAAAGTGATTGTATAACTTAAGCGATGTATGTTTCTTAACTTATGTCGCGCAGCTTTTGTCATATTTCTTCGATTCAATTTAATTATGGCTTTTGTATAGGTATGTTTGAGAAAAAACTCATTGAGCATTGATGTATGGGATACTATCTTATTATGCTATTTTTAGTTCCAACCTATGTATCTTAGAAGGTAGATAATATACCGAAATGTATCAAACGATTACGTTGTTTCTTAACTTTTGTCAGTAAGTTTATATAGAGATTATGGAGGGAACGAATTACAAATAAGTGGGGACCATTTCAAAAAGTCGAAAGACCGTTGTAAACCGTGGAATAATTGTAGTAGGGCCTACAATAGAGAAGACCGGGTTGGTAACATCACCCTTTGTTTTTAGACTGTATGTGTGCGTGTACGTGTGGCCGAGTGCCAAGCTGCCTGACAATGAAGTTTGAACTCCTCGCCGGAAGTTGAACCTTCAATTTTCAACTACTAATATCTCGGAAACGAAGCATCAGCTTGTAAAATGATAGAGGATTTCTCAAGTTCTCGAGGAAATCCAGGTACGTCCTGGATTGTAACGATAGAATTTTGTAGCTTTCACAATGGTGAAACATAATAATGAAACATAATAATTTGTTACTTAGGAACATGGTTTTGATTTTTTGTCAAAAATGGAACAAAACTGGAAACGTGTTCGGGCGAATAAGTCAAACGCTTTGAAAAAATACAAACAAATACTGCCTGAATTTTGTTTATCTGTGTCAGAGAATAAAATTTAATTCGACATTATTGAATAAATATCCAATCAAATAAAAATTTATCTAGATAACAATTATCCGAATCAAATTTTATTTAAATAAGCGGTTATTCGTTATTCGAATGGGAATTAATTCGTACAGGAATTCAGTCGAAAAATAATCGATTTGAATAAATGCCAATCTTTATAAGTGAATTCTTGATAGGATTTTTAATAAAGGTTTATGGATGAATAGTAATACTCAGGCAAATCCATATTTATTTTTCAGAACACCGCAGCCTTAATCTCAATAGTGTATCAAGCATAAAAATTGTTAGAGAAGTCATATAATTTTATGATGACAGAGAAAATTTGCTTATACGGAAAATTCTACGTAATAAAAATCGATGTTTCAAAGTTACCGTATTGTAGGGGAAGCTCTTCGAGAACGTAAACATCTTCGAAATCCTTCTACAGGGTGAATCACGAAAAACAAAACACTGTTTTTTTTATAAAAATAAAGAAAAATTCCAAAATTAAAATGAAACAGTTCAAAAGAGCCAATATGATGGGATCGACAGATTTTCTAATTGGCGATTCTTCAAAAGTCATTTCGAGGTCGTTGATGTCTTTTTAAATAACACTTTGATGGCACTGTAAATGATGGACGAGAGGAGAAAAATTTAGTATCATTTTATTCTAATTTCTACCCTCGAGATCACTTCAACGTCATAGTGTCGTCGGTCGTTTGAACGCATCTCGGGATTAGCTAGCTACCACATAATGAGATTGAAAGTACACAATGCCCTTGTAAAACACATCGATGACCGTGGAATGACCTTGATAAACCATTAATCAGAAAATCTATTAATCAGATCATATTGATCCTTTTGATCGGTTTCATTTCACTTTTGAAACACCAATTTATACCAACAGAGAAATTCGAGTGTTCCATTTTTCGTGACTCACTCTGTACAAACGAATCGCATTATGCAAAATGAATCGATTTCTTTTGAGGATGACCTTATATTACATTAGCTCGCGCATAACACTCGTAACAATAAGAAATTTGATGGCTCATTTGATTGCTTCCAGCGAAAGAGGCAAAAGTCAATGTTCAGTTTGGTAGATATCATTTCGAAGTCGGCATAGAATCGTGTCCGCGGAGAATAGAGAACGTTTGGGTCGAGAAGGCGGTTTCACCTAACTCTTGGGAATCTGAATCCGAAACTATCTTTGGACTACTAGCAAGACAGTTTGCCTGGAACTGGATTTCTCTCTCCCTGGGGACGCTATCTATTTCGTTCGTTCTCTGCGCATCGTTTCGCTAGTTCGCCGCTGCTTACCACGTTTGCGTTTCCCCTATCCTTATTCATTCAGTGCTGAATTTAACGGCTGGTACACTACCTTTCGTTCTTATCCGACGAATTACCACTTAGTTAGTTAGTTACATGCGCGAAAGTTTAATTTCGAAAGTCGGTTATGCAGGCGGACATCGCATCGCGTCGTTTAAAAATGACCATCTATCCGTCTGCAGGGTGTGTCACAGAGTATCGAGACCGATCGTTCTCCAACGCCAAAATACACTGACGAACAAAATTATATAGTTCACTTATTTTGTTGCAGTTCATATAGTTCAAACAGTTCAAAACTGAATGGAACTTGTCGGTATTTACAGGAACAATTAATTTATAAGTAGCTTAGGTCTTATATAGTCAAACCTAATAAATTTTTAAGATCATTTATATAAGTTCGATCAACATTTCTAGATGATGAGAACGTTAAGATATATTTTATATCCACCCATTTTTTCAAAATTGAATTGTTAGGTCGTTTAATTTTAACGGCTGTTAAGATTGTGTGTGCGTAGACTTTGAAATAAATTCGAAAATGTATATAAGAGTCCTAAAATGTTTATTACGAATGACACAGAATGTCTGAACAGTTAATTATGATAATATTCAAAATTACTAATAATAATTTTAAACGATATTGTAATTGGTCATTGTTAAACAAAATAAAATCTGTATTATCCAGGAATTTTATAAAACACAATACTATATATCTAACGTTCCAAAAATAAAGACATATTGAATTATGAGACTTTGACATACATTGCAAATTTACCAGATGATATCACATCATATCCGCGGATTACCACTTATTTAAATATTCAGATTTCTGTCTGGCCATAAAATCTTTCACCACTAACTCGATGATTAAAATAACTGTTATCGAATTTATTATCTCCAGCCTATTTCTATGGAAATATCATTAACAATTTCGCAGCAACATAGATGCATTATATCCAATGGACCCGTCTTCAACAACTTGTTAAAATGTCAGTTTTCCTAATAATTGAACTAGATGCTCTTTAACATTTATGCGAGCATAAATAACGGTTTCTTAAATCATTCATTTTCTTAAACCCTTCTATTTACTTTTATAAATTCAAATCCAAATTCCAAAATCTGAAACTGATAAAATCTTGCTCAAGTCGTTCGAATCAGAAGTCTCAATACTTTCTGCTTGTCATAATTTTAACATTTTTAGAACAGAATAAATATTTCTGTTTAAATAAAACATATTCCTATTTTCAAGAAAATAAAAGTTATTTTATTATTTTGGTTTTACATGGAATACAAATTTTGGTTTTAGTATGTAGCATTTCATAACAGTTTTCGTGGAACAGAAAAGATAATATTTAATTACAAAATCATAGTTATTTTTAAAATAATTAAAAATTTGAATAGTTTCAATGGAATTTTGATTGTGATTTTATTTTGAAGAGAGAGAGAGAGAAAGAGAGAAAGAGAGAAAAAGAGAGAGAGAGAGAGTGAGAAAGAGAGAAAGAGAGAAAAAGAGAGAGAGATCCTTGTTAAAGGAAAATGCGGAAGGACTATGATTTCACCGCCAAATCTCAGCTGCGATTATTTCTCCTTTTTCTCTCCGGTCGAAGAACTTGGCACCAAATCCCATTCGTTTTTGCTATCTATTCAATTTTCACCAAGTTGGCGAACTGGTTGCCAAGAAAACCAACGAAACGTTTTGTCTTTTCTCGAACTTCAATAGCGCAAAGTAGAAAACACGAACGAAGATGGTAAAGATCACGGAAAAATAACCTAATGGAATATTCCTCACACGAGGACGACGAAACTGTCACCATAACAATAAAGATCATGATCAGAAATTACTGATTTCTTAATCCTAATTACTAATTTATAAAATTTAGATAATACTGGAAACTGTTGCTATTGATCTTATTTTATAATTCTCTACTCGGATAATTACGTATTTTTTATTCGCAAAGTACATTCATGGCGTAGCAATTTCATTTCACTGTAATTGGTTCTCGAAAAACGTTTTAATATCGCTTCTGAAGCATTTTATTCTCGAGTTTAATCGTAAACGCGATGATAATGCGAAATAATTAATTCTTATCTATTAAAACGATATTAAAAAATTTGAATTACAGAAAGTAAAATTTGGTGATTTTAAAATGTAATTTGTGGGCAGAAAATTGACAACCACGAGCTATTAATCGATTTGATTGGCATTTGTAAATGACAAGAAATTGTCTAATTATTGATCGTTCACAATTTCGAGATTTAGGTTAATAAGAAAGATTTCTGAAAATTTTTGTAACAACAAACAATCATGTAAAAAATTCATGCTACAAAAGATAATCGACAGAAACGATTGTTTTGTAATAACAAATCGCGGTAAGAAGTTCGAAAATATTTATCGCCTAATCGAAAGTTCGATGCGGATCTTACTACGCTGAAACGAAAGGTAAAAAATTAAGTTTTCGTCAAAGTATTTTGAACATTGTACAATACAATACAATATATATAATAATATACAGAGTTACGCAATGAAGGAGTTAATGGAAGTACAAAAAGGTGGAATTAAAGAAGCGTTAAGAGTGGTTTGTAATATTCTTAACGTCAAATGTTTCGCATACACATCTTTGCTACTCCCTTTTCAGTGGTACTGCTTTTGATATCCTTATCAGTTTGGCTTTGTGTATGTCGTTGGGGATTTCGATACAACTTGAAAGACCGAGAAGTAATTTTTTTCATTATTAATTAAAATATAATCTATTTACAGTTATAATATTTAAGAGGCTTTCCTAATGTATTTTATAGATAAAACACTCATTTTTAATATCTCTGTTAGCATTTTAAACAAATTTTAGAATACCATATTACGTTTATTAATTATGGAAACAATTAGGTGAATTAATGTAATTAAAAAGACCAGCGAAAAATATGAATGAAAGACTATAGCAAATCAAACTTAACATGATTATAGACATGTATTTTAAATGTAGACTACACAAACATTAACAATTAACATAACAAACATTAACATTACAATACTAGTAATGTAATGGTTTTCAATTTAATTTTATTTGTTGCACTGCTTTCCTTGAATTACTTTTTAATTAACATTTAATTTTATTGAAGAATTTTAAACATATTCCATAAACTCATTTTATGAATTCAAGGAATGTAATTTTACAAAATAAGATAGCCTCTTGAAATCACATCCATATTTTAATTTAATAAATCAT